TTCATGTCGCGGGGGGGGGGGGGGGGGAGCAAGGCGAGCCCAGTGTCACGCTGAGGCCTTGGGCCAGAAGCCCCTCCCCTCCCACCATGGGGAGGGGACGCTGGGCTTGCGTTGCCGGGGCAACGCCACCAGCATCCCACCCCACCACTATGAGCGCCACCATCTTTGTGGAGAGTGATGGTTAATTTGCATATTACTCTTATTAGATAGATTATTTATTAATTATTGTACTATTTTCCATATGAACTGTAAATCTATTTTTGCCCACCCTGTCTGTTTTTCTTCCAGACCCAAATAAAGTCCTATACCTATGCATACAGATTTGAAGATCAGAAGTGACTTAATATCCCAGAACTCACCTATTCCTATTCCATTATAAGGTCAGACCCAAACTAAGAATAAGTCAAAAGATGTCTTATGGCCCAGAAGTACTCTACAAAACTAATGACCAAATTATCCAAGGCTTAAAAGCTTACAATGATTCCATAGCCAAAAGTTTACTTTGGGGTAATTACTGAGTTCGACCTGTCCCAAATTCCCAGAAAAACCACTGAAGTTTTTGGAGTCCCTCCATAACAAAATACTTGTCAGGTTCCCCTCAGTATGAATCTTGGCCTTCAAGTCTGGCTCTTACCAAGTCAGCCCACAAAGTAAAGAGGAACATTCCTAGGGAATGTAACCAGAGGCATTCAACACTCCCCAACATTAGTATCCTGCATGACCACCTAGAAATCAGGAAGTAAACCAAAAGCCCATGAATTTCAATTCCTCTTTCTAACATTTTTTCTAATACATTTCAACTCTGATTTTTATGAAGATAAAAATTGTCACCAAAATAATAATCTATCCTAAATAATATAAGGGATAATTTTTTAAACAGAATAGTTTCAGCGAAACTATTATGACACCAGAATTAAGGAAATCACCACAGAATTTGAAATCTTTTTCTTTATATTCTGAATAAAGGCTTCACTAAGTAGATAATGATCTATATAAAACACTACTTCACATTAACTGTAGTAGCAGGTATAAGAAATTTTATAATAAATAAAATCCAGATATTGGTGGTATCCCATTTTTCTTAGCTTGAAAATTAAAATTTCTCCATCAGTACTTGACTATAAAACAGAATAACCTCAGTAAGTTTTGAACTGTTTTAAAACCACTGCATTGGTTCTGGCCTTAAGGAATCTTAAGGATTGCTTCTTGAATAAGGTTGAACCAATGGGAAACTATACAGGTTTATTTGCAAATAATCATACCTGAGACAAGCTGTATCAGATTACAAAGTAATTCCTAGTGCTATATAGTATTTGATCCTGTACCTTACAACCTGGAATTTGTCCTAAACTTGACCTCTCCTCCAAGGAATTAGAGAACACCTAAGGTTACGTAATTCCATCATCAGGATTCCTCGGAAAGCAGAATTTACCTGGTATAATAACCAGAACTGTAGTGGCTAAATCAAACTATCTGTCCACTTTGCCTAAATGCCTTTGATCCATCCCCTAAACCAGGGGTCCTCAAACTACGGCCCACGGGCCACATGCAAATACAAATATTGTATTTGTTCCCGTTTTGTTTTTTTACTTCAAAATAAGATATGTGCAGTGTGCATAGGAATTTGTTCATAGTTTTTTTTAAAACTATAGTCCGGCCCTCCAACGGTCTGAGGGACAGTGAACTGGCCCCCTGTTTAAAAAGTTTGAGGACCCCTGCCCTAAACTCATTTCTTTTCTCCACAATGCAAAAGTCCAGTCCCTAAATCCTGTTCACGCACTGTCAAAACCGCCTGCAGGTTTCGAAAACGACACTCATTTTTTTTAAAATATATTTTATTGATTTTTTACAGAGAGAAAGGGAGAGGGATAGAGAGTTAGAAACATTGATGAGAGAGAAACACCGATCAGCTGCCTCCTGCACACCCCCTATTGGGAATGTGCCTGCAACCAAGGCACATGCCCCTGACCGGAATCGAACCCGGGACCCTTCAGACCGCAGGCCGACACTCTATTCACTGAGCCAAACTAGCTAGGGCATGACACTCATTTTTATTAAGAATTTGATTCCATCTAAGTGTTGAAAAATAATCTAGTCACATGGTTTGAAATGGACATTTCTTAAATGACCTGTTTCACATGGAGCTTATCTGTTAGACTTAATTGGAGTTAGCACATCAACAAAGTAATGTTACTATTATTAGCTATCAGTACATAAGAAGAGCCTTCAGGTCGTTCATCAGTACATGGTAATGCTTTGAGGTGATAAATCCTACAACAACGGGGGAGGGGGGGAAAGGGAGACATATGTAACACTATATGTAATACTTTAAACAATAAAGAATTAAAATTAATAACAGCCCTAACCGGTTTGGCTCAGTGGACAGAGCATTGGCCTGCGGACTGAAGGGTCCCAGGTTCGATTCCGATGAAGGGCATGTACCTTGGTTGCGGGCACATCCCCATTAGGGGGTGTGCAGGAGGCAGCTGATCAATGTTTCTCTCTCATTGATGTTTCTAACTCTCTATCTCTCTCCCTTCCCCTCTGTAAAAAAATCAATGAAATATATTTTTAAATAAAAAATAATAACAAATCATACAATATGATGGCATTTACAAAAAAAACAGTATGTTACCTATAATACAAACACACAAACTTAAGTGTTCAGTTAAGGCTCTCTTTCCTCACAAAATCATATAGACTGCACATCTGCCAACGAGTTGCCAAGGCAGCTTGAGTTTTTACAGTTTCTGTTTCTCTGTTGTTCACCCTATTGGTATACAATAACTAAAACAACTATTTGAAACAAAAGGCTGAGAGAGCTGAAACCAGACAGGTTACTCCGTAATCCGGAAGTTGTGAGAAACATAAACCCCTCGTATTCTGGCCTAAGAAGAGAGACTGAAGAGCCCATCTACAAAGGCTGACCAGGAAAAGAAGGGCAACGACCTGACAGTCCTACTCTGTGCACTGTCCCGTACAGTGAAGCTAGGGCAACGCCATGCCCATTTAAACCAGCCTCTGACACACCACGCAGGGACCCCAAAACACTCTTCCTCTTTTGGTCCTAGGCTGAGGGCAGGCACGAGGAAGAGAAACGAGTGGAGGGGGAAAAGTAAACGGTCCAAAGATTCTTCAAAAGGCACAGTTCCATGGGGCCGCCTATAAGCCTGGGAAGAGAGACCGCCGGAATCTCCCACGCAAAACGAAACCGTAGTTTCCAAAAAGTTCCCCGCGCCCCGCCCTCTGCGCCTAGGCCCGCAGGGCGCGTCCCGCTCCGAAACCCTCCAACTCACAGGTGTCCTTGGGGCAGGGCCTATCGGCACTGCCCGCCCAGGAGCTCCACGGCAGGAGCGGCGGCGGCCCACGCGCCCGGTGGTAGCTTTCGCCGGAGCCGAGAGGCAGCGGCCCGCGGAGTGGCGAGGCCTGGCTCCGAACGCGGATTGCGTTCTACACCTGAACTCGGCGGCCTGGGCGGAGAGACGCGAGGAAAGGCAGGGCCGGCAAGGGTGTGGGAGGTTGAGGGCGGTGGCTAGAGGCGGAAGACCGAAAAGTCGCCCCAAAAGCGGCGTAGAAAGAGCATTCGGAAACACCCGGAAGACCGCCGTGACCCCGGATGGGAAGAGCGGGGAAGTCACACTTCCGGCAACACCCCCGCCCCTCCTGCGAGCGCTGTGCTAGAAAGCGCATGCGCACGACCGCTGGGTCCCGGGTTGGCGGGAGATGCTGCTCGGCGCCAGGGTTGGGGGGAAGCGCTAGGACTACCCTGAGGCTGGAGACCTAAGCCATCAGCGGAGGGCCGCCTGCCCAGGCCCACGCACTGCAGTTCTCGCTCCGGTAAACGTTTTTTACTGGTCCTTCGTGTCTCAGCGGGGTGACTCCTCCCCAGAGAAGCTTTTCCTGACCCAGTTTTCCCTCTTCTGCACCCATCTGTATTAAGCTTTTTTGTCTTTTTATTTTTTGATATATTTTTATTGATTTCAGAGAGGAAAGGAGAGGGTGAGAGAGATAGAAACATCAATGATGAGAGAGCATCATCGATCAGCTGCCTTCCTCAAACCCCACGTTGGGGATGGAGCCTGCAACCTGGGCATGTGCCCTGACCTGGAATCAAACTGTGACCTGATGCATAGGTCCGCGCTCAACCATAGCCACACGGCTGGGTTTGCATGTCTTATGCTATCTTAGCATTCACTTCCTAGAGGCCTGAACTAACACAGCAGCCTTCCCCCAGAAAGTGCCATTTAAGATGAAAATTTGAGCCCTAGCCGGTTTGGCTCAGTGGATAGAGAGCATTGGCTTGCAGACTGAATGGTCCCAGGTTCCATTCTGGTCAAGGGCACATGCCTGTGTTACGGTCTTGATCCCCAGTAGGAGGCGTGCAGGAGGCAGTCAATCAATAATTCTCTCTCATCATTGATGTTTCCTCAAACCCCACGTTGGGGATGGAGCCTGCAACCTGGGCATGTGCCCTGACCTGGAATCAAACTGTGACCTGATGCATAGGTCCGCGCTCAACCATAGCCACACGGCTGGGTTTGCATGTCTTATGCTATCTTAGCATTCACTTCCTAGAGGCCTGAACTAACACAGCAGCCTTCCCCCAGAAAGTGCCATTTAAGATGAAAATTTGAGCCCTAGCCGGTTTGGCTCAGTGGATAGAGAGCATTGGCTTGCAGACTGAATGGTCCCAGGTTCCATTCTGGTCAAGGGCACATGCCTGTGTTACGGTCTTGATCCCCAGTAGGAGGCGTGCAGGAGGCAGTCAATCAATAATTCTCTCTCATCATTGATGTTTCTCCCTCTCCCTCTCTGAAATCAATAAAAATATTTTTTCTTTAAAAAAGATGAAAATTTGAGAGGAGAAAAGGAACAGTCCTGAGTTAGACAGGAGTTTGGCACAGTGCCTGACACGTGGTTAGTGCTCAATAAATACTGCTTGACTCAATGGAATGCAAAGTACTTTGTGTACAGCATATACTGGTAATTATTCCACAAAAACAATTTTGAAAAAAAAGTTATATTATTATCCCTAATTTAAAAATGACAAAACTGAGGATCAGAGCTGTAATGTGTCTCATCCAAGGTCAGGCAGTAGTTGAAAAGTACAGCTAGGATACAAACTTAGATTTGTTTTTAACTGCTTAACCAAGTTATACCGGCTCTCTTCATAGGAACTAAAAATGGGCTTTGAAAAGAAGATGCCTGCAATAGAATTTTTTTAAATTTGTAATTCATCCAAAAGTCCCTGGCTCTTATAAAAAACGGCAGAATCACCCTAGTGATGCATATGAAAGACATGAGATAACTGGAAAGGATTTCATTAATGGAGACTATGTTGTAAGAAAAGTTCTATAGTTAGAAAAGCAGAAGTTTGAAAGAAATTCTAGGAAGTTCCTCTTCAAATCATACCACATGGAGATACACAGATGTCTTTCTCATTAGGAAGAAGTGACTGAAACCAGAGGTACAGGATAGAGTTAGATGACTACTATAGCATGAAAACTCTTTAACCTTACCAATTTCGCACTTTCCAGTGTGATCCCTCACACATCATGGGTACACTTTCAAAGTTCATTCTTCTCTATGCAATTTGAGAACATCCTGGCTAGCGAGTTGAACAGTGCTCCTTAGAATTCAAAATACCCTACTCTATAATTCTATCTCTAATGAGTTTATTATAGAACAATCCCAGCAAATGGCTATAGAATATTAGAACCAAAGCGAAGTTTAGCAATTATCCGTGCTCCTCGTTTTACATGTAAGAAAACGATGGATGTGTTAAAGATGGGAAAATAAATAAATTAATATATACTAGGTCATTTGAAGTAGATCAGCATGTAATTTCAACTTAGATATGATGTGAGAATAGACAGTACAATCAATTAAGGCAAATGCAAATTCTACACAAATACACTATGAATATAGTTCTCTGTTCACCTCGACAGAGCCCTTGGAAATTTCAAGTTGAAATTACTGCCATAGGTTCTCAAGCCTCTAAAAATTGCTATAATAAATATAAGTTTTAGTAGGAATTTGCTCAGAGTTATAAATTAGTGAGTTGGTGGGGTGGAGGGTTCATAGAATGTATTGCTTTTTATGATCATAAAAGTAATGAAAGCTTACTGGAGAAATTTTGGAAACTACAAAAATGTATTAAGAAATAAAATTTTATAGGGTACAATATAACTAACATCTGTGAGCCTGAAAGTTGCCTTTTAAAAGGTTAATTTTATAAGACAAAAATAAATGTCAACCAATATTTCAATTATTGTCATCATGAATATTTGTTTAACAGGTCTGATTCAGTATGGACCAGATTAATATCACAGTCTTTAACTTTTATTACTTTGAAAACTAGAAAATGTACAATGTAAGACAGTATTCTAAGACATTCAAAGTAATAGGTAAACTCTATGAATGGAAAAGTAATTTATAGGATAGAATAACTGCAATTAAGTATGTCAATTAGAACCCTCCCCCCCCAAAAAAGTACTCATTTTTTTTCATTGATCCAATAGTCATTTTTAAAATAGCATTGATTTTTCTAAGCAGATGCCGGGAGCCAATCCATCCTTGCTGTTTCAAGGGACCTGGCATATATGGCATACTGTTCTTAATATGTTTGCTCACCTTCTTGGCGCTATGTGTTTTAACCAAGGTCACCTCTCCGAGAAAGGTTGTTTCCCCAGGTAGGGATTTTTCCCTGAAGTTAGGGAGGGGATAAAACCCCTTAACTAAGTGCCAGGTGGGTAGTTAATCACTTTAA